TGCAAGAAAACACCGTAAATCCACGTTGAAGTTCCTTGACCGCTGCCTAGACGATTGATGATGAACTTTAACTTCCAATTTTTCCTTCTCTAACCATTAATTTTCATTCAAGCTTTGTGTGCAGCTCCGCCTTTGAGCCCTCGACTTACCATGTCAAAATTCACCTTATTCCAGCTAGTAGATCTTAGATATTACAAAAATCCTAAACAACTCCAATATGCCAACTTTTGATACCTCTTTATACTAATGATCAAATATCCTCTATCCATACCGTAAGATTAATACAAATTTTTGCATGCACTTAGTATATTCAATCATCTAGACACCTCTAAAATTTCAACCATAGATGTCTCTCTAATTTCGCAAAATAGTCAAGAGTACTAGCCTTTACTTTATTGTAAAATCCAATTCACCAACACAAACACTAACTTTGAGCAATAATTGCAAAGTCCTCCCAAATCCTATGAAACTCAATTCTACACCTTTCGAAGGAGATTGAAGCTAGCTCTCCAACCCCAAAATCCAAATCTCCGAATGCCCTCTTTTTTTTCCTCTTCTTTCTTTTAACTCCATGAGGTCCCCTATTCTTCCGCCCTGGACTCCAAATTGAAACAGCAGACCCGCCTCCGTGGAATTTCCATCTCTAAGAGGATCTTTCCACGAAAAAGACATTTTTTCAAAACGACATAGAAAACGGAACAGCTTGAAATAGAACTGAAGCCTCCGTATTCTGGACTTCATTAGGTTGTCCAATCGAGTCAGATCTCATACTAGGTAAGAGGTCCATACGAGGACCTAGATTGGATGTCCCCATAATTAGATCAAATTGACCCTTCACATCAGACTCACCCAAATATTGAATCGTCCTTTTTTTTTTTGCCGACTCCTTATAAGAACGGCTCGGAGTTATTCCACCCAATTTACTGGAGAATCTTCAGGACCTCAATTTATCTCCTCAATTTTTCTCTGGCTTTGGATCTGCTGATCTCAATTATTGAAATTGAACGGAGCATTACATTGTTGATAAGTATGCCCCGATTGCTTGCTATTCTTATACATTGGAATGTAATTGTCACTGGTTCTAGGATTGGGACATTTACTAGCATAATGACCAATCTGTCTATAACAAAAACAATGAAGTACTCTTCTTACACCTTCATTAGGCATATTGGATGTCTCAATCGGTATATACTTACTAAGCTTGTTCCATGTAGGGTTAGAAAATGATTCTGGTCGTCCCGTTAGTACGGAGGGTACTTGATTTGATGATACTGGTGGAGCATACGCTGTTGTCACGTTCGGTGGTACAGCTTGCAATGGAGTGACATTAACTGGCCCCTCAATATTGGCACTGGAATTGGCCACTGCTTCTAACATCCAAGATGATTAAATATTAATAAATCTTTTCCATTTATATTTTCACCATATAGTCGTGTTGTAACACGATAATGGTTCTCAGATTGAAATTCAAAAAGATAATTGTTGCACTTCATAGTAAAGTTAATTGTTTGATTCAATGTTTGAGGATCAAGTAAGTTGAGCATTAATTTTTTTTACCTCATATTGTAATCCGTAGAAAAATTGGCTAACAAGTGCAGCATCATCTCACTTGATATCATTACAAGTTGTCAAAATTGTGAAGCATACAACATTACTGATTGATTCTCTTATTGCAAAATATGCATCTTGTTGGTTGCGACATGAATTGCATCTTTTGCTCCATACATGGATCGAAATTCCACCAAAAAAAGCTTCAGATTATCCAATATTGGATCTCGTCATTAAAAAAAAGATGAAAACCATGATAATGTTAAACCTGAAAAAAGCATATCAATGAATCTAACTTGCAATTCAAGAGTTGGATAGCTTTGGGGTTGAAGTTCAATTACAAGTTGTACTTGATTGATAAATCCTCCAAACTTTAAACTGGTGCCATCAAACTTCTCAGGTAGGATAATTCTTGGTTCTCTAACACTAGAAGGGTGTTCCATTATACAAGAAGGGACATGATTTGGTGCAGATGTTGAAGCAGCTCCAATCATTTCTATATCTTCACTTCCTGTCAATCTTGTTGCTCCTTATGGTGGTAAATTGAATTGATGCATCGTAAGCATTAACTTCCTCCATTGCTCTTGCATTTGTGCCATTGTACTCTTCATTTCAGCAAATTTTGCCATGATAACACTTAGAAAAGAAAAGATGTCTAATATTGCTCAAGATAAATAGAAGAGAGGACTTTAGAACAAAAAAAATACTAAGAACAATATCAGTTTAGAAGACGGTAATCTGTAACTTTTAATATACTTATGTCTTATCAAGAGAAAGGAATAATCCACTCTTAATCAAGATTTGACAAAGCTCTAATATTGTAAGTACACTCTTGTCAATCTGTCAAGGACAAGAATTTGATAAAAATAAATAAATAAGTGAGACTTTTCTTAAAGAAAGATGATAAAATAGAAATAATTAAATATGTATATTAAGAAAGAAACTTGAATGGCTATTGCTAAAAGACAAGAAAACTAGGGACCCTTGAAACTAGACAAGAAGCAAGAAAGGAGTTGACAAGAGTGAAGAAGGCCTCATTCTTGCCTCTATATATACTATCCTCCTAGGAGCTATATGGCAACATTCTATAGGACCTCCAAAAATGTTTTGACTTTACACAACATGTATCTTAGCTTACAAGGCAAGTTTTCTATGTAGGTGCCACATAGCTAGCTTGTTCTGCAAGCTACCAACATGTATAGCATGTGGTTAAGTTGTTGACGAAGTTTCTAACCTATCAATTAAGTATAAATACATGTAAAGTCAAAAAAACATCTATGAAGCTTCTAGAAAGCTTTTCTAGAAGATATTATGAAATTAATCTACTTTTACCTACTTCTACCTATTCATAACACCTAGGTAACAATTACAGTAAATATATGTCTGTGACAGTTGTAGCATCTTGCATATAGGTAGGAAGATAAGACTAAGGCCTCAAGGCTTCTTTAGAAAACCAATAAACACTATTTGTGAGCCTTAATGAAACTCAAACTCCTGCTTTCTTAAGCAAGTTATCCTTAAGGTAAAAATTATTCACTTAACTTTTTTATTATTTACATTCTATCTTTAATCTATCATAATTTATTCATAGTAACTTGGAATTATATGATTTTTATATCATTGGAATGATAAAAAAAATTATCTATCTAAAAATATATTTTTTACTTTTTATTTTTACTTTTTTTGGATAAAAATCTAGTGAATAGATTATGACTTAGTTTTGGATGTTGTGATTACTTGATTTCATTTCTTTCACTTGGATGGTGATTGTTCCTCTTTGGTCTTTTGCCAATTGCTTACTTCACTTCACACCACCAATTACAAGCAACTCTTAATTGAGGCCATCTTGTACTTGGAGTTGAAGAGTGAAATGTACACTCACAATGAGCAATTCAATACAATAAACATGAAAATATTTCAAGTCATGAATATATATATATATATATATATATATATATATTCTTAACAGAGAAAGAAAATGGGAGAAAAAAAAAATGTTGTATAAGACTTTTGTAAAAATAAAAATAAAAATGCATGTGTATGATGTTTTTATAGAAAAATAATAAATTTATAGTTAAATTTCTTAAACATACTTTATATAAAACCAACTTAGATGTGAGTAATATGCAATATTTAAAATATTTTATTTAATTTTCTATTTATTATTTTAAATTTATCATTACTATAAGATCAACTTTTAATATGAAAATTAAAATATTTATGAAATCGAAATCTAGAAGTTGTAATAACAATCCATTAAATCAAAATAAAACAAAATATAACTATTCTAATGTGCCAAAATATAAATTGTATTGAATAAGACAAAATCATAAATAAAAATGAATTGATAGGATTATTTAATTTTAAAGCATTGTTTCAAAAAGGACTAATCAAAAGGATTTTCAAAGGTTAATGAATATTTATAGAATTTACTAAAAAAAAAAATTATCTTATTTTTTAATATGTAATGAATTAATTATTATGTGAGTTTACTGCTATGTTATATAAAAATACATATATATTTTTTTTGAAAAGACATCTAAATTATGCATTATATCAATGACTTATCAATTCACATAGTATATTGTTTGACAAATAACACATGTCTCTATTACTTTTCTACTCTTTTTTAAGAGAATATTATGAGATGATAAAAAAATGACAAATTTTGGAGCTCTTTTTTTTTATTATTTTAGTTTAGATATATTTTATATTTTAAAATGATATTTTTACATTTTATATTATATTGTAAGGAGGGCTTCAACACAAATTCCAAGAGAAAACACTTATTCATGCTGTGTAGTAAAAACAATGTATTCGAGCTCATTTATTTTTCCTTATACAATCTTTTCACTAATTTGTGAAAATATAAAGCCAACTAATTATCTTCCTCATCTCATGTAAAATAATTTGACTTGTGCATTAATCTTAGATGAAGAACATTCTGTAATGGCAACGTCAAAGTCGCCGATGATATTGAAGTGTCTACATACTATAATGGACTCAGATACCAAAAGCGCATGACTGTAAAACTGGAACACACAAATTACAAAAATTGGTTCGTATATATACTTGGGCAACGTACAATGTGGGAGGCAGTTCAACTGCTCAAAATCCAGCCCAAAAACATTGTAATAACTCTACTTCTAACAGATTCAAATGAATAAAAGCATCGAAAAATCTTCAACAGTAGTATAAAAATAAAAATAAAAAAAGTAAAAAAAAAAAAGGAACTACAATGGAAAACGAAGAGATTTTCCACTCTTCCTTCGGGGCCAATCATCTACATTGTTGGAGATCTAAGAGAACAACCCCTGTCAATAAATGAAGACTACAATTCACGTTGCAGAGATTGGAGAGATGTAACACAAGCGAGGGAAACAACGAAACAGCTAATGTCCACTGCAAGTTGAACGGAAATCGAAGAGATGTCAGAACCATACCCAGATGGGTCAGGTTGAGATGCTTTGCAGTGGGGGTGAGTCATCCTCTTGGTCACGCCCCGATCTTCCTCTTCCTCTCCCTCGCCCCGAGCCTCGAGATTTCTGTCCAAATGGCACCCCACGGCCTCGTCTATGGCCAAATCTCAACACCGAGGGTGTTTCATCTTGGGAGACGGTGCTCAGTCTGGATACTGCGGTGACTAATTCATCCACGTCCATAGGTGTGTCCTGGTTCTGGGTCTCCGAAGGTGTGGTTGACTCGTAGTCTTTACGGTCTGTATGCACATCGGGAGCTGATTCTGATGCTGCCTTGGCCCTCTGATTCTTCTTTGACTGTTTCGGTGTACTCCCAGAGTTGCTGGGTTGGTGAGCTTTCTGCCGTTGTCGTTGTTTTTGGGAGGCATGTTTCTTGACGTGGAACCGGAAGGAGCGAGGAAAGTGATGCTTATCGACTAAATGTTGGTGTCTATTTGAGTCACTGAGGAATCGTGCTGAGCAACCCTCCATTAGACACTCATACTGCGCTTGATGGGGCAAGGAAGTCAGACGAGTCCAAGTAAAAATTTAACAAGTCCAAGTAAGAGATTGTTACATTACAATGAATAAAAGTATTGAAGAAGCTCTAAACAAGATAATTGGAGCCTAAGTGAGAGATATTTGCAATAGAAGGAGAGATCAATAATGAAGGAGCTATTGAGTTCAAATCTGAGATTGTTATAATGTAGATGAGGCTAGTTGTGAAGGAACTTAGAATGGAACCTATAAAGCCCAAGCAAGAAATTATTATAATACAAATAAAGCCATTATTAAGGAATCTCAAGGCGCGACCCTAGAAGCCTAAGCAAAGGATTGATACAATATGAGTGAAGCCAATTGTAAAGGTGTTGTTAAGCTATAGGGCTCTTATGCTAGCTAAAACTAAACATGCCACTCTTACAATTGGTGCACTTTTGATATAAGGATTGCATATAATAAGATCAATTATAAGAATTTATTATAAAATTAAAGGTGTTTGCCTTGTTGGCAAGAGAGACCATATATGATAGAGGTGCCTAATGCATTTTAAAAATAATGGTTATATATAACATTATAAAATCTATATTTATCATAGTTTAAAAAATGTATAAATATATTTTTAGAATCATAAGTAAAAATTGTGCTTAATATAAGTTTTACTATGTTTTTGGGATAATACAATTTTTTTTTTTTTCAACTTCAAATATTACAATCTCTCCTACAAAATGACTTCAATACCTAATATTTGATAGAATGACCCTAATATAAATTAAAAGCAAGATCTTATAGTTGAAAGTATTGAAAATGTAATAAAAAATATTTAGAAGTCATTTTCTTAAAAGAGGTACTTTTTGGCAATTTTGAAGTTTAGAAAACAAGATAATATAAGAAATTTTAGGAATTAATGTTTCTATAAATATTTCATAATAGTATTACTTTTTTTAGCATCATAAGTATTACGTGCTAATAAAACAATCTTAAAAGTAGTTATTACGGTTATTATATAAATATCTATTAAATATAAGTAGTATAATAATTATAAATATTTTTTTAAAATTTTATTTTTTAAGTAAAATATTACTAATATTATTAGATTATTTTTAATTAACTTTATATTGATATTATATATTATTAAAAAAATATATTGATATTATTTTATCTATTTAATATAATCTATTTTTTAATTTTATTTTTAAAATTTTACTTCAAAAACTAATTTCTTTGAATTTTTTTTTGTAGTATGAAAAATGATTATCTTTAATTTCTATTTGTAATTTTTGCTTCAATCTAATATCTTGATGTAAGAAAATCTTTTAATATGCATTAAATTTTTATAAGTTTTTTTTTTTTCTGATCTTGAATAAATTTTAAAATTAAAAATAATAAATAAATAAATTATTCTAATACTATTAATTATTTAATTTTTTATATATTAATTTTTTAAATTTTTGATTAGTTTTCTTTTTATACAAAAACCAAAATCATAATTATTTTCTTAATTAGTTGATCAAAAATTAAGTTACATGGGATATATTTATTTTGAAATCAAGAAAGAATAACAACCAAGATATTAGTAACTTCTACTTTATATTTTTAAATTACTATGTCTCATCAATTAATTATTTATACCATTCTTAAGACTTATAATAATCAACAATAATTATGCTTAACAATAATAGTGTGGCTCAATGTTTAAAATAAAAGATTAGAATGTAATAAACATTATGACTTGTATAACAAAAACTTTTTAAATAAACTTGATCTTAAAATAGATAGTTAAAAATATAATACTTTTTAATCTTATAATTTATTTATATTTTGCAATAATAAATGATAATAAAATATAATTTAATAAATAAGCTATAAATATATATATGTATATATATATTATAATTAATTATAAAGAAATAACATGTATTTATGTATATTAAAAGTTTTATTTTAATAGCTAAAGTCATTTAAAATAATGTTTTATTTTTTCTTAGTTGATATTAAAGATCCTTTAGATTTAGTATTTCTTGTAATTGGTTTTAACAACTAACTTTATAGCTAAAAAGTAAAATAAAATTAGTATAAAAAATAAAAAATAAGTAATAGTAAACCATATTTAAAAGTAAATTCTAAGCAATAAAGAATTATTTTTTATAAAGAAAAAGAGATTTAAATAAAAATGCAAAATCAGTTTTATTTATAAATTATATATATACATATACATACATACCTAAATTATTAAGCTATTTTTTCTATATCAAGATTAAAACTACTACTGAAAAGACTTGATTCACTTTCTTTAGTATTCAATTTCTTTTTCGATAAAGTTCTTAAATTTAATATTTTACTACTTTTTGATGAATTTAATATTCTACTACTATTTTTATGTATTTCTCCATTTTCAAATGTTGTTGTAAGATCACTAATGTGCATGTTTCCTAAAAGCATTTGTACTACATTATGCATTTTAGGACGATTTCCAGCCTTGTAATGTACACATGCTATTGCCACATTTAAAACACGCATGATATCTTCTAAATCTGTAGATGAATATTTCATCTTGATGTCAATTATTGTTGTCAATTCTTGTATTTCAAATTGTTTCCAAGCCTGTAAATAAAAGAAAACACAAAAGGTCTTAGAGTCATAAAATATTTTGAATCTAAATTTTTTAATCAAAATTATTTTAAAGTAATATAGAAGTGCATTGAGCTATTGAAAAAGAACAACAAATAAATAAATAAATAAAATCTAATTCATTAATGTAAATGAATGTAAGATTATAAGTACAAACCCAATCTCGCAAATAAACTTCTTCACTTGATTTTTGATTATCAACATTTTTCCTTCCGCTTATGATCTCTAAGATTACAATTCCAAAACTAAAAACATCAAGAGCTGTTGATATGTGGCCATGAATTGCGTATTTTGGAGACCAATATCCTCTGCAAATCAAAATTAATAAATAAATAAATATATATTAGATTTTCATTTAAATACAAATACATGTAAATATACATGTTAAATAAATAAATACTATATATATATAGGTATGTCTTTCATGCTTTACTAAATCTATCAATTTATGGATTTTTTTGTTATTTAATTTATAATTTAAATAATTTATTTATGATATTTCAATAAATTATGGTTATTTTAAAAAATAATTATAAATACATACATACACACACATGTGTAAATTTATATATATATATATATATATATATATATATATTTTAAAATTCTTACCTTGTTCCAGCAACTTCCATCAAAGTCAAGTGAGTTTCTTGATCATTAAGAGTTGGAAAAAAATATGCCAAACCAAAATCAGCAATTTTGGGTTCAAAGTCATCAGTTAAAAGGACATTGCTTGCTTTAATGTCTCGATGAATGATTGGTGATTGTAAACCTTCATGAAGATATGCAAGGCCTTGTGCAACTCCAACAATAATTTTGAATCGTGTCGCCCAATATAAATATGGTGATTCAATCAAATTCCCTACAACAATAAAAATAAAATAAAATAGAATTCATATATTAATGAAATATCCAAGTATAATTCAAATACAAAACTTGCTTTACCGATTCTAAAGAAAAAAAACATCTTTAAAAAATTATTTTTAGAATTTAAAATTTAATGTTAAAACATTAATGCCATAAAAAGAAAAAAACTCATTTACAAAGCATTATCAAATGCTTACTATATTCAAAAGAAAGATGATCATACCTTCCATTGAAATTGCTTCTACAAGATTTTTATTTGTGATGCACTCAAATACTAATATACATTGATCACTATCTCCAAGGCACCATCCTTTCAACTTTACGAGGTTTCGATGTTTCAAGCCCGAAATTACCACAACTTCATTTAAAAAATCTGAAAGCACTTTACTTGATGACATTGTTAATTTCTTCACAGCTATTATTGTACCATCAGCAAGTTTTCCCTAATTTAAAAGAAGAAAAAAAAAAAAAACACAATCAAATTTGTTAGGGCACACCATCACTTCAAAACTATAACACACTATAAAATAAATAAATTATGAGGAAAAAAATCATATGCAAATACTTCGTTGAATTATACACAAAAAAATTTCAAAAATATATTGCATTAACATGTATATAAGATTTTAATTTGTAATATAATTTTTTAAACTAAATTTATAAGAAATATATACATATATATATATATATAGGGTCATATAGTCCTAAACGAACATTACATGAATCCAAATTTAAATACGCAACTGATTTGGTTTTTTTATTACTATGTATTGATGTATCAAAAAACATGCTTGTATATATGTATTTAATAATATATTTTAAAATAAATTAAAGGAAAAAAGTTTTATCAAAACATTGAAATGCAAAAAGATACAAAATGTAAGGTGATGTATAGTACCTTGTAGACTGTACCAAAGCCACCTTGCCCAAGAATGTTTTTTGAATCAAAATTATTTGTTGATCCTTTTATCTGCTTATAAGAATATAAATTGGGTGCTATTTCCTTCTTTTCAAATTCTGGTATTACAAATTAAGCCACATTAATTTGATGATATTGCATCAACCCATTACATACAAAATATAAAAAAATAAAAAAATCTAACAATGTTCTAATAAATTAGTAAGTTTTGTTTTGTTTTGTTTTGTTTATTTTTCCTATTGCAAATATAGTAATTTTTTACTATTTTCAAAAAAATAAATTAGACTAAATTTGAGTACAAGTAACATAAAATTAAATAGTATATCTACTTCACAAAGCATGTTTACATATACAAAATAGCTACAACTAAGAATTTAAATAAAGATTCATTGTTCAAAAATATAAGTAAAATAGAAAGCTAAAAGTAAATCAATCTTACCTTGTAAAATGCAGTTGAGAGATTTGATTCTTATTATCAATCTCCATATGTACAAAAGAAATATCAAAAGTAAAAACGCACTTGTTGTAGTTGATGCTATAATAATAATCTTTGTCTTGGAACTTGTTACAACTATTCAAACCACAGAAAAATATCATATCTACATTCAATTTATTTACATATATGGAGCATAGTTAAACGTAAAAAATAGATGTTAGTTTGTTTTATTTAAGTAAGAAAATTTTAAATAACAAAAAATATCTAATTAGAATAAACATTAATTTTAAATAATTTTATTAGATTTGCAAGACTAAAAAAACATCATAATCTACAATAAGAATATTACTATTTTATGTGTTTTTTTAAGATGTGTTCTATTTTCATGTTAATAATTAAAAAATAAACGAATATTTTTTAAAAGTTAACAAAATTTTTGTTTCTAATCCAAATCTTGTAATATCAAAGTGCATATTAATCTAAAGTTTAATATCAAATCTATATGAAAATCCATTTTTATTTTTATTCTTAGTTTCTACAAAGCATTGATTAGTGATTATAAGTCAAGATATCATACCATCAAGTACAGGAGACGTTTGATTTAGCCGACAAATAGAAGCTAGAAGCTTATTTGTTACTTTTGAGCACATTGGATTGTGACCAAGGCTACACATACCATGTCAAAAAATCTATCAATATAAAGTTTAAATGATTTATATAAGTATATGTTTATAATAAATGATAAAAAGATCAATTTTTTTAAGTTTAAAAAACTAAAGATTTTATATTTAAAAATATATATAATAAAAAAAATTAAAATCAAGATAAAAATTCAACCATGTGGTAAGATGTACATACAATAAAAGATTTGAGACTTCAAGATAAGAGATAGAAAACTGGCTTGGATTTCTTGGAAATTGAACTTCATCCAATTTATTGTCAATCAACATTAACAATGACAACTTGGAATTATTAATTTGAATGTTTGGAAACTTAACTTTAGTAAAAAGATTTTGGCTGCCATATCTGCCTCAATCACACAAAACATCAAACAATTTGCATCTTTAGATTAATCTTTAATATACAAATGTTAAATAAGTTATAGTAGTATTTTCCAAAAGAATTAGCTAGTTTCTCTATAATGATTTTGTAAACAATTAAATGTTTCATTGATATTGTTAAAACATCATACAACAATATTTAAATTAGCTTTTTACTAAGTCATTATTCTGATTATTTTTCACTACCAATATATATATATTAGAAATAAAATAACTTCAAAATAAATATAAAAATTTAAATAAAATCAAATAAGATTAGTGAACTTACAAAATTTCTAGAGTTGATGATTTAAGAATTTGAGCTGGAAATTCTCCACTCAATTTGTTATTTTCAAAATTTCTACACATTTATTCCACAAATACTACATAGTTATTAAGTTTTTAATTTTATACAATTTGAATCACATTTTGATCCCAATCACAAATGGAATAATTCATGTTTAAACTTAATAAAATTAATCCATATACAATGATAAGATCAAATTTAAAGACTAACAAAAAATAAATACTTACAATATTTTTAATGATGGCATATATTGGTTTCTTGAGATGTCATATTTTGATTGTAGATATCAAAAGAAATGTTGATGAAATAATTGTTGGACAAATCTATTTGTTGAGGATTGAAAAATAAACCAGTAGAAAATATTCCATTGAAACCATTATAGCTGATATTTCTGATTTCCAAGACAATAACAACATTATAAATTTTTCCTAAAATATTAATTTAATAAATATTTGATTAATAATATTTTATTTTTTATATCTTGATTTTTTTAGAACATTTAGTAATCAGTATTTAATTATGTTAAAAAAATCACTTCTACATGTATGTTATTAACACATAAGTATAAAGTTTTAGGTTTTGATTTATTTTGATCATGATATTTGCATGTTTTCACCTTCTCTTTTAAAAACATCATTCTAACTACAATTAATATTAGAATTTTTATTTTTTATTTATTTAGATATAGAATACTAAAATTATATCTATTGTGCATTAAATTTGGATCCTAATTTAGAAAAGTTTAAATAACCTCAAATCTTTAAGTAAGTTTAAATAGAAAAGTAGAACTTACATATCTCTTAAGCGCATTGCCACATTTACACTTTGAAAATCTAGTGATCCGGAGAAATTATTCCTGCTCAAGTCCCTGTATATTTATTTTTCATAATATTTTTTAAAATTTCTACTTCACTTTCTACTATACATATATACATATTTATTTATTAAAATAAACATATATTTAAAAAATATGTTATTTTTTTTAATATTATGTATAAAGTGATGATTGATTACATAAATAATTTTAAGTTGTTTGTTTGTTTGTTAATCTACAAAATATGATGTATAAGATTTTGATTTGGATACAATATATATTGCAAAGTATTGATATAATATTATAATGTAGATGTTTGTAAAAAGAGACTTACAATGATTTCATATTTGCAATCCATTGCTTATCCATATTCTTCAAGTCTATTGTACCAAAGAATTGGTTTCCACTAAGATCCCTATAACAATCTCACACAATACAATTAAAAATTTAAACTAATATGTAAAGAAGAATACAAAAATTTCCTTTAATACAATTTATCTAACATCTTGCCTATTTTGTAGTTTAAAAATGTGGTGGTTTTTATAATAAATGTAATTAGTTGTATGATTAATTCTACATTATATTTCTATACATAGAAAGAAAAAAAAAGAAAAGAAAAAAATCTCATGTCATGAAAATATAGAGATTATCTAATCTATTACACTTACAAGTATTCCAAGCCATGCATGTGTAGAACATCTGTTGGAAATGGTCCACTCAATTTGTTGTTGCTTAAGAATCTATTTACAAAGAGTGTAAAGTTGGTTAGAGAACATGTGATGAGAAAATATTAAAAAATTCAAAAATAATTATGAGAAAAAGATAGAGTAAATAAAAAATCTTACAAGTTTAGTAATGAAGGCATGTATACAATGGCTTGTTTTCTCGATTGAGTAGGTGCCCATTTACCGGTAAAGTTGGCAAATTTGATGCTAGTGAACTTGTTATTAGACAAAAATAAGTTGTTTAAATCAAAATAGCAACCGGTTGAGAACGCCCCATGAAACTGATTTTTGCTAAGATCTCTGAACATCAAAATAAACAAATAAAGTCTATTATTTTCAACATAACATTCCTCATGTACTTGCATACATGTGCATGGTCTCAATTAAAAACTATTACAAAGATTGGATTTTTAGGATTCAATTATCTTTGAAAAAAGACCAAAAAAAAAGTTAATTTTATCTTATATTGATTTTATAAAATCTTACAACCTACTTGTGTTCAAGGAGTTTGATTAGGTAGACGAGAAATTTCTTACAACAATTTGAGATTATTGTTGGGGCCGAACGTTTCCAAATCTACGGGTCCAGTCAATTGATTTTCGCTCAGATTTCTGCACAATGCACTCAATACTGAATGTTTGGGTTATGACTCAAAAGCGAAATTTAGCACTTGGTGTGGCGAATGAATTGCTGTCAATAGATCGGTGCAAGAATGACTCACAGATACTTAAGAGAAGTGCTGAAGAAAGACCCTTGAGATCCCAGTTCAAGCCTCCCACTGAGCTTGTTTTTCATCAAGTATCTGGAGAAACAGGAAACAAAGTTGATTTACTGCACTTGAATTAGAAGACTCAACGAATCGTAACTTTAAATAAGACAGCAACGACGGGGGAACCAAAACAAGCACATTCAGATTCGTTGTAACACGGAATCAATTTGAAACCTGAATTTTGAAAGTGCACTCATCTTACATTCCATCCAGTTTGGAGGAAGAGTTGAAAGACGTTGACAACAGTGTGCCATTCAGAGAATTGTTTTGCAAAGATCTGCGTCAACACAGAAATTACCCACACCTTTCAAAAATTAGATGAGGCACAGATTTATGGTAGTTGAAGAATCCTCTCATTGGCACAAAAACAGCTGTAGCTGAACATACTCTGTGATTCCAGACAATTGGAGCTCTTCATGGCTGACAGATTTTGGATTCACTTACACAGCGGTGAGATTCGGCATGTGCCATATCTCAGGTGGCACTGATCCCGTCAGACCCGGATGATTGTCCATCCATCTGCAACAGGTGTGGTAACGCAAAAGATTTACTCATATTTTTATCAAAAGATGGATGTAAAACACAACCACCATGCGCTCGGGTTTATCAAGTCAAATTGCTGGTCGAATATGAGGATTGAAACTCACATATTTTGCACGTTAATCAGTTGACTAATCTCAGCAGGCAGCTCCCCATTGATGCCGTCGAAGTCACACTGTGAGTTGTATTCCCAACCGCAGCGAGAGTTGCTCCCATACATCCTGTGAGAGAGGTAGGAGAGAACAAGTCACACATGAAAGAAGCACGTTCATAGATTCATTACGCGAAGTATAGGATTTGAATGGAATTCTACGTTTGTCAACCCTATGGATCATTCTTTTCAAAAGTCTACGAATTAGAAATTCATCTCAGTTTTTTTGCCGATAACCGAAAGAAATAGTAACTGTACTGCACATCATGTCTCGCAGAAAGTTGTGACTCACATCAAGGTTGTCACAGCTACTTCATAGTAATCACCCGTTGTGTTTCTCAGTCGAAAAAAGGCGGTGCAGTACACTCCCCGCCATGCCCCTTCGAACCGCACAGGATTGTAGTACTCCACGATGGTACTATTACATGGGTGTCGGTCATGCGACCAGTTGAGAATGGTTTTCAATTGAGGGGTCCGCTGGGTCCATTTGTTGAATATGGCGTTCAAAGCATCAGCTGCAACAGTGTTCAGGCAGACAGAATTGGGTTTTACTCATGCTGACGCGGTAAGTCTGTGTCGATCGTGTAAAACAGGATTTCTGTACCCTACAATCGACACGAAACAAGCCTCGCAGAAAGATGAAAACGAAACAAAATATCTTGTTCAACTGCAGACATACATGGCGTGTAGCGATTACCTTCAAATTGATTAAAAATTGGAAAGTTTAGTATGCTCTCTGGAGAAGTTGAGACTTGCGGGGCCGGCGCGGGTTTGTCGGCACTCTGGCAGCGAACTCCAGCCACCGCTATCCCAACACACACAAGAGTCACGAGAAAACGCCGGCAATCAACGACGCGCAGCCCAACGCAAAGCTCGTCCCCAACCGCATTCCTCACGGACGCCATCACGGCAGCGTTGGATCCCATCCTAATTCTCATCCAACAACTCTCGAAAGGATCAATCCAAAGCAAGCCTTCGGGTCACATCTGCAAGACTGGACGCACGAGCAAGCTCGACCACTAGAAACAACACCAAAAACACGATTGTCGAAACTGGGTCACCAGCAGCTGCCAAAGGTAGCCCGATCAGGAAGCAGGCGTGGAAGCGAATTCAGTGGACGAGGTCCAGATAATCAAATCGCAGACTGGAACTCCTTTACCCGAACGAAGTGATGGTTCTCAATCCATGGCTTCAGCTCACCGTGCCGAATGCAACGAATTCACGTCTGCTGTTGACAGAGTCGCAAGGACCCAGCTCTAAGCTTATCGGCCGCAAGATATTGTAGGGTTGTGCATAGATTGACGAGGGTATGGAACACCAGTTGCAGCAGCATCTGCAGCACAATCAACGGTTACTTTTAGGGTGTACATTTCTAAACAATGAGGTAGTCGATATCCCCCATTAGCATCCTTTGGGTAAAAGATACCATTTTTCACAGTTTTCCTTTACTAAGAATGGGGTTGGGACTTGTGGACTGCAGTCTCGGTCAACGTGCTTTTGGGTTTACTGGGCCACTCTCTCATATTGTCTAGAAATATCCGCCATCATAAGTAAGAGCCATTATTTATTTTTTATTTTTTATTTTTTTCTATATCTTAAAATTGGAGAGATCTCTTTACTAAAAAATTACTTGTGGTTAGTTGTGAGTTAACCATTGTCCTTGTTTTGATATAGTGCAAGCTAACTACCATAATGGATAGTGTTTTACACCTATATGGTTACAAGTATGTTTAGGATTTAGAATTTTGAACATCTTATTCTTTTGTAACCTAAAAATTATATATATATATATATATATATATATATGCTTTTCATGAGGAGCTAATAATCTTCTATTATTTCATTGAGTATGCTTCTCTGGAGGTAGTTTATCATTATATGGTAAGTAAAAAAACCATAAATTTATTTTGAGTGTAAATTCCAAATAGTTATTTGTAATTATAAAGGTATTAACAAAACTTTTGACCATTCTTAAAACTCTAATTTTTTTTAAGAAGTTAATATGATTTCTTTAGTAATTTGAAGAAATTGCAAAGTGTATATATGTTTTCTTTAAAATACTAATGTAGTATTTCTACAAATTTGAATCAATTTTAATACAATTCCAACTCAAAACCTTCAATTGAACTTTTAAAAGCTTTTATTAAAAATTATTTTAAAATTGGATTTATACTATATTTATAAAAATTAGAATTAAAATTAAAATTAATACACAATAGTTATTATTTTTGCTATGTTTGTAAAAAAAATCTTTTATCATTGATTTGGAGGACTTTGAAGTATATTTTTATAATTCTGAAAATTTCAATCTACTTGATTTTATAATAGAGACATTTTTTTATTTTATTTTTACATTCTAAACCTTTACCACTAATTTTTTTTTATTACAAATAGTTTTTTTAGTAAAATTAAAGACATAAAAGTTAGTTTTTTAAAAGTTTTAATATCATTATGAAGTCTCTTAACACAAAATATTAAATGATTATTTTTTTTAAAAAAAAAGACAAGATCTATTTGAATTGTTATAAGCACTACTATTGTGTCATTTAATGTTGCAATTAATTGAAACATTGTTAATTAGAAAAAATATGTCTAATATATATATATATATATATATATATATATATTTTAATATTTTGATATATGTAATTAATTTATATAATATTTTTTTAGATGTATCAAAAATAATTTTTTTAAAATCAATTAATTTAAGGAAGTATATTTAAAGTACCAATTTTTAGAGGTGAAGAAGAATAATTTATGTTTTATTGATTATGTCTACTAGATTTAAGGTTTTGAAGAGCAACTTTGGAACAATAGAATAAAAGTCAAAGATGTTGATTTTTTTTGTATACTATTTAAGATTCAGATTAAAAAATATAAGATTTTCAAGACTTCTATAGTAAGCAAAGACACTCATTTAAAACTCAAGTAGTTAGTTTATATGCTAGTAATTGAAAAGATATATCTACAAAGCATTGGTAGATTTGTGTCAACATACAAGAAAATATTATTCGTTCGAAGAAGTTTAAATAGAAAGAAACTTGTCATTATAGTCAATATATTTTTTTTACAGAAGGTCAACTTAAACGAGAATAAATACATCAACAACCTTTAAGGTGTAATAAATATGTATTTTTACAACTAGTACAAATCAAAAAGATACTTGAAAAGAAATTCTTTTAAGAAAATATATATGAAAGATATTCATTAATAAGATATGAAGCAAATAGTCATTTAATTAAATGATAACTTATTTTTCAAAACTTAAATAAAAAACTCTATGATAGAATTTTTTTCTATGAATTCTATAATAAAACTAATTTTTTATTAATTTGTTGATAATAGATATTTAAATCACAATATATAGTGAGTAGTGTAGAAATCCTTTGAGAAATAGAAAATTAGAATGTTAGTGGTAGAGATGGAACCTTAGTAAGTCTTGGAGGCAATTATCTTCATTGATTTAGTATTTTTATTCATTGTTGAATATTAAGGATTATTTATTAAGACCAATATTTATAATATTCTTCTATCTACATGTACTATTTATAAAAACTATAAATATTAGTAGTTAGAAGAAGCATGAGAAAGAACCTCATGTCATTTTAATTATTGATATAAAAAATAAGATTTATAGTAGATTTAAATTGATGTTTATTATTATCAAAAATCAAAAGGTAGAAAAATATAGCCTTACATGGATATTAGCATTATAAAAATATTATAGGATTTTTTAGAATTTATTTAGAATTTATTTATAATTTTTTAGGAATTTTTAGAGTAATGTTTAAGAATTTGGTAAAAGTGAGTTTTACCACTTCGAAAGCCATTATGAAGAAAGGGAGTAAGATTTGAAGGCCTTATCAAATTCGTAAGCTGATAGGATGTTTTTAAACAGCATGGTGAAGTCAAAAATATAAAAAAATGAGTTTTAATAGTAGAAAATAGGAGGACCAGCAGCTAGTCCAGTCCTTGTAGGAAGGAAGGTGCACAAGTCCCAAATGGGTTGTAGCGGCATAGGAAGATAAGAGTAAAAGCTCAAGAGCTCTTCAGAGACTGATATACACTATATGTGAGCCTTGGTGAGGCTCGAACCCTTGACCTATGAACAAGTTACCCTTGATGTAAAATATTATCACTTAACTTTTATTTATTTACTTGTTATTTTAAAACCTTCATAACTTACTCATAATAACTCGGATTTACATGTTTCTTACATCATTGGAAAGCTTAAAAAATTAAATTCCTAAAAATATACTTTTACTTTTTTACTTTTACTTTTTTACTAGGTAAAAACTCCATGAACAGACTGTGACCGAGTTTTTGAGTGTGTATTTGCTTGTATATATTCCTTTCACTTGTTTGTGTTGTTTCTTCTTTTGTTCTTGTTCATTGCATCTTCCACTTTACACTACCCATTACAAGAAACTCTTGATTGAGGCCATCTTGTAATTTGGGTAGAGGGGTGAAATTTACACTCACATTTCGATGCGTTTGCCGGGAGATGGTGCTTCTAATGGCTATGTGTGGAAGTGAAGTTGCTTGTTGTAATTGATTGTGCTTGGTTTTGTTGTGTGAGCAATTCAAGTAGCTCTTCATCATTGGTAAGAATTCTACAACTCTTCATTATTAGTGGAACCAAAGCATTTATATTTCTTACGTTACAAGATAGTAAAAATTTCATTGTCGAGTGGATTATTGATTTACTCTCAGTTTTTCATCAATCAATTTTTACTTGTTGTGTATTTGAACTTCAAACTTTTTGAGGTTGTGTATCTTGATGTGAGCTTTCTAAAAAGCTATTATTTGTTTGAATTGGACTAAAATTATATTTTTAGTGGGTTTTTGATCGGAAGGGGGTTCACTACCTTGGCAGTTTTGTGTACTCCAAGTTGCTCTCAGGTTTTCATCAATCAGTTTTCATGTGTTTCATATTTGATAGTGAAACTTTTTGAAGTTGTGTATGTTGATGTTAACTTTTCAAAATGTTATTGCACGTTCAAATTGGAATTGATACAAATTTATAGTGAGTTTTAGACTAGAAAGGGATTCACTGCCTTAGCAGTTTCATGTACCTCATGTTTAGAAAGGCATTTCTTAGTTCTTGGTCAAAATTTAATATTGGAAAATTCCAAGTACAAGAACCTTTAAGTTGAAATTTTAGTGGTGCAAAATTTGGTGCTATTGAATCAAAATTAAAATTTTGGCGATTTTTGGAGTAGAGAGGGGTTGCTGCCTTAAGCAAAATACAATTGAGATAAGTGATTTCTATCTTTTCACTCATTTACATTATTGATTTTATGTTATATTTGTAAACTTTGTATTTAAAATTTTTTATCTTAATTATATTAAACTATAACAAAAAAATTTAAACTTAAGTTGAAAATATAAACAAAATAAATAATAAAAATAAAAATAAAAACATTAAAATTAATTAAAATTAAAAGAAAAAATAATATTATTAAAATTAATTAATTATTTTAATAAAAAATCTATTAATATAAATTTTAAATATTTTATTTTTTAAAAAAATATTTAAAAATAAATTGTAAAATTTGACATTTATTCAAGTGCATAGTTAAGTTCTATTGAATATTTTTGCTTCTTTGTAATATCATTTTTAAAATTTCTATATGCTTTTTAAAAATTTTCAAATTTATATTAATATTTTTTATAAGTTATTAAAATAAAATCAATTTTTTTTGGTTTATATATATATATATATATATATATATATATATATAATATACATTATTTATATATTAGATATTATAATAATTATATAATTTTCTATTGGCATTGAATCAAAAATCATAACTTTTTGTTTATAAGAACATATTTTAAAATCTCAATTAAAAATATTATATATACTTATTGTAAGTTAAAATCTATATTACTTTAATAATTTTATATTTATTGTAGAGATCTTTCAATATCTTGTTTAATACTAATGTATTTAGTAATTAATTATATCTTAGATCTCACAAACATAGAACTAAAGAAGGTTTCAAAAGGTTCCAAAAGATTCTAAAAGATTCTAGAAGATACAAGTAGGTCCTAAGAAGGCTCTTGAAGGTTCCAGAAGGTTTTGAAAGGTTCTTGTAGATTCTAAGAAAGTTCTAAAACATCATAGGAGGTCTTAGAAGGTTCTAAGAGGCTTTCGATGATTTAGGAAGTTGCTGAAGAAGGATCTTAGGCTTGCTTTGTTCTCAAGCCTCATAGAAACTTCTCAAGAAGCTTCCTAGGACCTAGAATATATAGAAGTTAAGGCTGAGGGGATCCTTAGTCTCGACAACTCACTTCTTGTGGTCTAGTCAGGACCTTCTTGC